GGCTGCTTTATTGTGGTGAGGCTGAACAACAGTTAACATACAACTTTAACATAAGAAATCTATTTCTAATATTTTCCTCCCTCCCCCATTTCTGTTGCTGTGTCTCCATTAACATCAATGTAAAATCTATATTCAATAAGTTTACTTTGGCCTTATTTCTTACAAACTTGATATTGTATTGTTTGTGAGAATTATTAAGTTTATTCCCTGAAAATATCATATATTTTGTTCTTATGATTGCCCACATGTTGCATTTTTTTTTTTTTTTGGAGATCAAGGGGCACTGGTAGCACAGTGCCTAAGGCATCGGACTGCTAACTAGAAGGTTGGTGGTTCACACCCCACCAGCCAGTCCGTGGAAGCAAGAGTAGGAAATCTATTTTCGGAAATCCAATGGGGGTCGCTATGAGTCGGAATCAAATTGATGGCATTGTATTTTTCATCTTATTTTTTATCTATCTATCTATTTTCCCATAGATATGAGTATTTTTTCAATGTGCTTGCCTTTCCACTTGGAGTACTCCCTTGAGGAGTATTTGCAAATCTGGTCTGGTAGTGGCAAATTCTCAAGAGCATCTGTTTGTTGGAAAATGTGTTTATTTCCCCTTCATTTTTGAATGACAACTTTGCTGGGTAAAGCATCTTTGGCTGTTAATTGTTTTAATTCAGTATTTTATATATGTCACTCGATTGTCACTGGCTTCTATATCTCTGGGGAGAAATTTGCTCCAATTCTTATGAAAGATCCTTGATATGCTATATTGTATTTTTTCTCTTGGTGCTTTCAGAATTCTGTCATTGGTTTTCAGGAATTTTATTAGAATATGGTACAGAGTTGATCTTTTTGTGTCTCTTCTGATTGGGGTTTGTGTAGCTTCCTGTGTTTGTTGGCTCTCCATTCAGGTTTGGGAAATTCTCTCTTGGAAAATTGCTTCTGTGCCTTTATTGTTGTCATGGTCCTTGGGGATTCCAAAAATTCTAATGTTAGATTTCTTAATTGAATCCCACATTTCATTTTGAGGTTGTTTCATCTTTTTGTTGTTGTTGTTCTTTTCTTGTTTCTCTTGAGATGTGATAAGTTCAGTTATTTTGTCTTCTAGTTAATTTATTCTATTTTCTGTCTTTTCAACTCTATTATTGTGTTTCCCTTGCTTTTTCTAATTCAGTTGCTTTGTTCTTCAGTTCCAGTAGTTCTGGTTTTATTCTTTCATTTTTTAAAATGTTTTCAATTTCCTTGTTGAGTATCTCATTTTTTTCCTCAATTTGTTTCCCGATCTCCCCTAGTTTGTTACTGTGTGCTCCTTGCTTTCTTGAAACATATTTAGCACCACAGTCTGAATATTATCAATCTTTTGCATTAGTCTGGCATCCACAGGAGAGATTTCTTCTTCTTCATGTTTTGCTTTTGACTGGTTCTTCTTTTGTGAATTTGTTTGTTTCTATTTATTGTTGTTGAACTTGGGTCATTGTTGTTATCTTTCTAAGAAAAAAAAAAACTTTACATTTGTACTCTGGTTTTTGTGGGAAACTTTTCTGATTGAATCTGGATGCCAACCGAAAGGCCAAGGCCGACACCCACCAGTTGCTACATGGAAGAAAGACTCACATCCCTGGAAACTCTACCAGGTAGCTCCACTCAGCCCCACAGGGTCACTGTGAGTTAGAACTGACTCTGTGGCAAGGGCTCAGTATCTTCTCCTGAGAACCAACCACTGGAGGACACTCTTATCCTTAGGTCTTTTCAAGTGCTGATTCCAGAGTTCTGGATGCAAGATTTTTGGAATTTAATATGATACACAGGAGGAGAGGTTTAGCTGGTCACAGATGCTGATGTAAGCTGTGGGGCTCAACGTTCCTGTGACAAGGTTGGGGAGCTCTCTACACCTTTCCTTCACAGATGCTTCTTCCATGGTGTCCTACTGTGAGTCATTTCCCTTTATATCACCTGTCATTCTAAAGGATTATCTTTGCCCTTTTGTCTTTGCAGTTCTTCCTGGTGCTAGTGCCCATCGATTTCAGGCTTCATTGAAATTCAATAGCACTCTCTCGCAGTGCACAGTCTCCCTTTGCCCCCTCCCAATTGCACAACCCATGCACTTTCACAGCCAATTTGTTGCCACTTTAAAAAAATCAAGCTACAACTTCCTCAGATTAGTTCCCTTCCTGTGTTCACTGTTTGAAGGGCTACCTAGCTCCCTCTCAAAATTGCTGTGATGAGTGAGTGCTCCTGATGCTGTTGTTATGTGCCGTCAAGTCGGACACAACTCATAGTGACCCCTCCTTGGGTTTCCGAGGCAGTATCACTATGGAAGTAGATTGCCCCATCTTCCTTCTGAGGAGTGGCTGGTGGATTTGAACCGCCAGCCTTCTGGTTCGCAGTCAAGTGCCTTAACCACTATGCTACCAGAGCTCCCTGATGCTAGTAGGTAGGTTCTCTCAGCTTCTGTGCTGTCTCCACTCCTCTTTTTCCCTGCTTGAACTCTCCAACACCTCAGCTGCCATCTGGAATTCTGAAATCTCAGTCTGTGCTTGTTTTTATTTCTTGCTTGGTGGGTTAGTTGCTAGGAGAGTAAATGGGTGCATCCACTCATTTGACCCCCTCAAATTCTACTTTTCTATTTAAAAAAAAAAAAAACAAAACCCAAACTCACTGCTGTTGAGTTGATTTAACTTATAGCGACCCCTTCTTGGGTTTCTTAGGCAGTATTTCTATGGAAGTAGATTGCCCAATCTTCCTTCTGAGAAGTGGCTGGTGGGTTTGAACTTCCAGCCTTCTGGATAGTAGTCAAATGTCTTAGGCACTATGTCACCAGAGCGCCCACTTTTCTATTTAAGATGTGGAATTTTTTTTCCTCCTGTTCTTTCTGCTAGGGAAGAACTAAAACTCAAGTGGAAGGGGAGGCTGCATATAGATTGGGGGAGGAGCTGTGAGCCAAGTGCAAGAGGTAAGAGGGATACCTGCTATGAATATTTTTCCAACTCTTCTAGCCAGATTTAATGGCATATTGTGGTGTAGTAAATTACATAGTGTGGATTTTCTAGCCATAAGTCTTTGTAAACTCCATGGTGGTGGTGGAATTTGCCATGAGCATCTGAGTAGCTCCTGATTGCTAAAGTTATCCACCTGGGGTATTTCTGTTGAACCAGCATGAAGCAATCTTCTGGGAAGTTTGCTCTCTCTCAGGTGCACAGAATTCTGATGTTGGGTTTGGTGGATTTAGTCACTCTGCCAGGCTCAGAAGGAGCCCTCTTAGAGGCAGAAGGAATCTCTCACTGCCAGATGGGCAATGGGAGACATGCACTGCTGAGAGAGAGACGTAAGAGACACACACTGCTGGGAGAGAGACTGAGAGAAACTGTGGACTGAGAGAGACGGAGCATGTTTCTGAACTTGAATTGTGGCCTGTTGCTTCCCTAATAAACCCCATAATCTGTGAGTTCTGTGTGGCCACTGCAGCAAATTATCGAACCCAGCAGAGAGGTGGTGGGTGCTGTGGCAGGAACAGTTGGTGTAAGGGTTGGTGAAAGGGCTGGAGGGAGGCAGCATGTCTGGTCCCGCAGGAATAGGCCTTGGGCTACTGATGGTGATTCTGTCTTCCTCTTGCTAGAGGAGGTCAGAAGATGTGGCCTCCCTGCCCCTTTGGCACATATTCTCTGTGCTCCCAAAGCACTTTTTCTTATAGGGTTAACACATCACTTACCACATGAAAAAAAAAAATTGTCTTCATCTCTGTCTTAACTGATGGACTGTCAGCCCATTGAAGACAAGAACATTTTATCTATCTCTGTATCTCTTGAAGCAATATGGGTGGCCTCTGGCTAAATGCTGGGATAAATGAATGAATAAAAGAACAAATTATGTCTTAGTTACTACTCCGATTTTTCAATATGCTCCAGGACAAGGAGAGCATGGTCTGATTTGGGGATTATTTTTTCTCATCTCAAATCTTTCCTATTTCTCTGAAAATTTGTCTCCAGATTTATGAAAATACTGAATTTTAAAGGAACAAAACAAAAACAAACACTTCATGTATGAAGCCATGAAAAATACATGTAAAGGAAATGATAGATCATAAGGTAAGTACACTACTGTCATCTAGGTGACCAATGCTACAAAACCTGTGAAAAATCAAAATTTATATTTGTATTTTGCAAATCAAATTTCTTTAATAATAGGAATTGATCTCTATTAATAAATGTTTATATATGACACAATAGTAAACTTCAATAAATTGTAATAAAAGAGTTTGGGAGGTGAAGAGGAGGAAGGAGAAGCCAGCTTGAATTACATAAGTCAGAGTTTATAGAAAGCAGTACATTTTATTGCTTTCAATACTGTGATCTGCCAATACAATCTGTCCAAGGAGTCATCTACTTAATGACATGGATCTTTATTTTATAGCTGAATCTTTTTGCCTAAAAACCACGGTATATGCCAAAGCCATGAAAATAATGAATTCTTTTTAAATAGGTTACAGGTGTTCTTGCTATTTTGCTTGGCAAACCTATTCCTTGAAAACAATCCAAAAGTAAATTTCAGCTTAGTGAGAGTCAAAAATTGTGTATTATTGCAATATCTGAATTCATAAGATGTTACCATATGTATAGAAGAATTCATGTTTGAAAAATAAAGAATGCAGTGCAATGTCCAAAGGAAGTATTAAATATTTAAAAAATAAAAACAAGAAAATGTAAACTGTTTAAAATCAGGTGAACATTAATTACTCATTAAGGTAGGTATTACTGAAATCCATCTTCAAAGCCTTTGTTTCCTTTGTAAATTCCTGGAGGGCAAACATCATGGTTTGCTTGCTTTTTCGTCACCTCAAAGCTTTATACAGTCCAACACTGCCATTTATGCTGTACTCTCTGATGACAGTCATTATTTTAAGAAGAGGTGTTTAAAAGTGGAACATAACAACAACATCAACAAGGTTTTCAGATGTTCTAGTTGTTGCTCTGTTTATCTTTAATCAATGTGATACAAAGAATTTACTCACTGATTCTCGGTGCAGGCCTCAAATAACTTACTGGACCCCATCCTGGAAAGGAAGACAAGGAAATTCACTTGTTACCATTATATCCAGAAACTTTTCAAAAACTTTCTGCACAAAAGAGTCTCAAAGTCTCTGATATTTTATTTCTACCAAAGAAAATCATGGGGTTGGTGGAAGTTATGAAATAATATATGCCCTCCTCTGTGTTTCTGAGAGGGGAAAACTTGATGTCACTCATTAGGAAACTGGCATTACCTTCAAACTTTGTCAGACAAAAGATAAAACTTGTGTACCTGTGTACTTTACATTAGGGATGGAACTGAGGACTTGTAGGGTAGAAAAATGTCCACCATAAAGAAGAAAATTTCCTTCAATTCTTTGCATTTTTGAAAAATATATTCCATAATGTCTGTGTTAATATAAAATTACATTTTAATTTTTGTGTAAAATTGAGAGTTGTGGTATGTATCTTTGAGTAAAAGTGATGTTTGGGATAGATGTACCATGTGCATCCCCTGGATTTAAATATTCAGTGGCCCAGTATTGGCTATCTTACTTTGAGAAGATTGGAAGAGTAAACAAATTGGAATCTAGGATAAAAGAAAAAGGCTCTCCAAGGGAAGCAATCTCATGAATATTTAAATTACCCAGAAGTAATGGTAGCTCATTCTGTAATGAAGAGTGCTAAGAAAGAAAACTGGGGTTTTCTTTGACCCCAAAGATTTTTCATCCTGATGAACTAGTAAAGCCTCTTTTTGCCAAATGAAGTCTTCCAAAAGATACATGACATGTGTCTTCTTGTTTAGTTATCTATAGGGAGAGAAGCAGAAGTTCAGCTCATTCTGGGAACAATTCTAGAAAAATGAAAAATGGTAATTAAATGACTAGTTAGCCTTGTGCTTTCTAGGTTATACAGTTCTGATTAGTCCCTTAAATATTACAAGTAATATATATTTATTATCTACTGTATACTCTATAATACTATTTTATATATAAAGTTGTTGTTGTTAGGTGTCACATAATATTGTTGTTGTTGTTTGTTGTTATGTGCTGTGGAGTCGGACCTGACTCATAGCAACCCCTCCTTGAGTTCCTGAGGCAGTATCACTATGGATGTAGATTGTCCAACCTTCCCTCCGAGGAGTGGCTGGTGGGTTTGAACCTCCAGCCTTCTGGTTAGCAGTCAAGTGCCTTAGGCACTATGCTACTAGAGCCCCCGTCACCTAATATATCGCATGCTATACCATATTATTGTTGTTAGTTGCTGTAGAGTTGGCTCTGACTTATGCTCGGTCCTGTGCCATGTTCACAATTGCTGGCACATCTGCATCTATACATAAAATATTTTGCTTTCTGCATGCTTTTTTTTTTTTAAAAAAAAAAACTATGTAATTCAAAGAATGCTAATTAAAACTTAAATACTCAAGAATGGTGAGGCTTGGGTGATGGTAAGATTAATTCTATTTCTTGCTATCCTGTTCTATTTAAATAATCTACTGTCGGTATGACTCTTATAACATTGCTTTCTAACCGTAACTGAGACAAAAATTCTATTAACTCTTGTCTTTTTCAGTTAAAGCTTATGCTTAACCAGTATTTTACCAAATTTCTTTTGTATTGAAACAATTTGTCAATTAAATTTTATTCTATCTGTAGGATGATTTAAAAAATATATATTATCTATACAAGGCATTCTGAATTTTGTTGTTATGAGTTTCCTGATATAAGATATCAGTAGCTTTACTTGATTTAATAATTTCTGCATTGTGGATACAGACATTTATGTCATCTGTATAGCTCATCAATAAGTTATATGTCCTATGATACAACTGATCCCCAAGGGTACAAGTTATTATGTAATCTACTACTGAGCCTGCTGTGATGTAATTGCACACTATGTTTATGTCCTTATCCATGTAACAGTATCATGATTAAGGTCACACTTTCATGGCTTAGTGATGACAATATTGTTTAGAGTCTCGAATTACCCTGTATGCAAAATTGATTTTATCCAGCATATTCTCATTGTTCATACAGCCTGTTATTTAATCATGGAAAGAAATTAAATTGGCATGGAAAAACGGTTATTCAGAACATCAAATGTGGTTGCTTTTTGTCTCTTAGTATATTCTAATAAGTTTTTGATTGAATGTATGAGGATTTTAAGCTATCTAGGAGCTCTGGTAGCATAGTGGCTAAGGCACTTGACTGCTAACCACAAGGCTGGTGGTTCAAACCCACCAGCCACTCCCTGGAAGGCAGATGGGGCAATCTACTTCCATAGTGATACTGCCTCGGAAACCCAAGGAGGGGTCGCTAGGAGTCAGGACCGACTCGACAGCATATAACAACAACAGGTTATAATGATCAAGTCATTTCCTGAAAACTGTGGGTATGACAAGGTCTCTCTCTTATCTCTATGATGTCGTAAATATACAGGCTTTGCAAGGTCATCTGCCAATATTTTAAAGGTCTCAGGAAATCTGATATTAGACCACACTCTGTTATCAGATATTCTTTCCTGGTCTAGTTGGGCTCCACACACATAACAGATTGAAGTGTGTTAGTGAAACACACGTCTCCCCACTATGTTGTCAACCTGTTCAATAGATGGATGGACTCGGTCTTACTCCTTTCTATCACTTTCCCGAACCTGTTTAGCGTCATGCATAAATATGTATTATTACATTGAATCTTTGAAGAGACATTTCATTAAGAAGATAATAAAAAGACAAGAAGGTAAATGAAATTTGTTTTTGATATTATATATTGTCTCACAAAGAAAAGTCTCTTTTCCAACCTCCCCAAATTAGCAATACAGTATAAAACTCTTTAAAGGCTGCAATTCTGTCTTCTAAGTCATTCATATTTTTATATATTTTTAACGTAATGACAACTAGGATGGTGGGCTCAATTCATCAGCTTAACAGAGATCAAGTTATTTTGCTATATGGTCATAAAAAACTATCAATGTTTTTTTCATAGTCAGCTGTGAAACAGACTTTAAATGTCAGTATTAAGGTTAGCCTCACAAAACAGAAATTGTGTTTGAGCAGTCTCGAAAATTAATAAGAATTTAAACCTAATATCCAGTATGCATGTTCTGCTCTTCTGCTTATATACAATTGATTACAGTATTAAAGGCTTAATTTCATGGGAAAGACAGGCTAATGAAACAGGATCTTTCCCCTTTCATCACATTACTTTACCCTGAGTCATTTCTGTTTTCTGTACTAAGCATGCTTCACCTGCTGAAACTTGGGAGTAAGAGCCATAATGAGTGAATAGTTCTGGAACTTTGATGGAAAATCAGTTTCTTTAAAACTAGCATTTCACTGATTCTTACCCTGAGGGCTGGAGGGCCTCATGCAGTGTGAATCGCACACTGAGGCAGGTAGCAGCACTCACACTCAGGTGAAAGAACACAAATATACCCAGCATGTGCTTATCTAGGTAGAACTCAATGTAATTCTCTGGCTGCATGATAAATCAGGTAAATTGTTTATTATTGTTCTTACCCCAAACAGAACACAAAGATAAGAAAAGGCTGGAAAGCTTCCTAAGGCCATGTGATAATTTGTTGTTAAAATTGAAGTAAGATTAAATTCTTGTTGCCAACTCCCTAATCACAATGACATTTTTTCCCCAGCTAAGCTTTGTAGACACGTGATTAACAATACCATCTTAATTTTACATGCAGACATATTGATGAAAAAAAATTTATCACAGTGAAGTTCAGGATTTTTGCTATCTAATTGGTTGTCCTTCCCCCCGCCGCCCATCTAAAATGACCTGAATGCAAAATTATTAAATCAGTAATAAAAATAATAACAGCAAACACTTATTGAGTCCTTATTAAACACCAGTCTGCTACATACCCTCTGTGGACCTTAATAACGTAAGAATCACTTGGGAATTCTCTTGATTTCTGCATATAACGTGTAGCTCCCTCCCAATCCTGCACTTTCTTACATCAATCACACCCATCAACCATCATTTATGCTTCCCAGTTTCAGTTTCATTAAAGTGGATTAAGAATTTACAAAGCAGAATCCTTTTATTTGAGGTTTTCCCTAATATCATCTTTCACATATCTAATTCCATAGCATTTTTGTTGTAACTCAACTTAGTTAAGTCTTTATATAATATTTTCACAGAAACAGTAATTCCTGTGTGTGTCCCAAACCCAGTGCCATTGAGACAATTTTGACTCCTAGTAACCCTATCAGATAGAGTAGAATTGCCTCATAGGGTTTCCAAGGCTGTAAATCTTCACAGAAGCCAGAAGCCAACTGCCACATCTTTCTCCCTTGCAGTGCCAGGGCTCCTTTTTTTTTTTTTTTCTTTTTTAATGTATATATGTAATCATATGTCATTGGTTTTTGTAATTCATAAGTGAATTAAAGAATTATACAAACAAGTAAAATTGCCACAGCAGGTCTGGGAACAAACACAACTCATTCTTGGTCTACATAACCCCCCCCCCCAAGTGGAGTCATAAGTTTGCAGGTGGGTTAGGCGGCAGCAAGTAAGCATCAGCCAGGATGAAGGGAAGGGAGAGATTTGCTTAAATCAGGCAAATCATTTAGGGGATAGCCAGTTAAAAGAACTTTTACAATAACTGTATGCACTACATTGATAAAATTAAAATGAAAAATAAAATGAAAAAATAAATTGGAGGAGGAGGAAAGGAGCACAGATATCCTGCCCACAATTATAACACTAGAGGTGTAATCAGGAATTAACTCGGGACAGAGATTATTGTGTTGGCTTGGGTGGGCTTCTGCAACCCAGAAAGGGGGCTTTCAGATAGTTAAAGAGTGGGCAGCAAGAGTACAGAAGCCAGAAGCCAGGAGGTGATGGAGATAATCTTGTTGTTGTTGTTGTTATGTGCCGTCGAGTCAAACCCGACTCATAGCGACCCCCCCTTGGGTTTCCAAGGCAGTATCACTACAGAAGTAGGATTGCCCAACCTTCCTTCTGAGGAGTGGCTGGTGGGTTTGAACTGCCAGCCGTCTGGTTAGCAGGCAAGTGTCTTAGCCACC